AGTTACTCTCACTTCTGTGTAAAGTGTTCAAATGTGTTTGTTACTATTTTGGCAAGTGCACTTTTCTGTAAGACACTTGACCTGATTGTTGTTTGCTTGTACTCAGATAATTGTGATGAATGGTTTTGAAAACCGACAAGTTGAAGAATTGAGACACTTATGCAACACATGGGAATCTTTATTGAAGAAACGTTTCGCCACACAGTGGCTTCATCAGTCCAATACAAAGTAGAAATGGGTAAGGAGAGTAGAAGTATGAGGTAATCAGTCCCTCAACCTGGATTCGATGTGTTCAGTCCATCACTCTTGTATTGGACTGATGAAGCCACTGTGTGGCGAAACGTTTCTTCAATAAAGATTCCCATGTGTTGCATAAGTGTCTCAATTCTTCAGATAATTGTGGTTGCAGGGGTCGATTCACAGTTCGTGGCCCCGCCTCTTCACTGGTGGCTACTAGGTCCACTCTCTCCCTGCCTCCACTACATCACTTTCCAGACTATTCCACTTCCTGACATCTCTATGACTGAAGAAATACTTCCTAGCATCTCTGTGATTCATCTGAGTCTTCAGCTTACAATTGTGACCCCTTGTTGCTGTGTCCCATCTCGGGAATATCCCGTCTCTGTCCACCTTGTCAATTCCTCTCAGAAGTTTATGTACTATCCTCCAATGTCGTCAGGTAGATTTCCCTTAACCATCCCTTGTAGGAGACTAGTCTAGTCTTATTGTAAACCTTTGCACTTTTCCTAGTATCGTGACGTGCTTGACCAGGTGTGGATTCCAAACTGACGCTGCATAGTCCAATACGGGCTCGACGCACACGGTGTACAGTGTCTTGAACGATTCCTTACCCAGGTGTCAGAATACTATCCTTAGCTTTGCCAGGCACCCATAAGTTGCAGCAGTTATTTGGTTGATGTGCGCCTCAGGAGATATGTGTTTGCGTGTTTATCTTTGGGTGAATGTTTTTGTGTTTTGTATTCCGGTATCATTATCATTTAAGTAGGCTATGCATGGCTAAACGCTAATTTCGAGATCAGCGGATAAATTAAATTGATATTTAATATCCCATGCATACGTTTATCAGAGAGCAACAAAACAACTTAAACGTAATTTACACAGTGGTTTATTAGAGCACCAAAACAAAAATACTTTCATATTTATTTACTTGTTCTGGTGATTGTGGTGCGCGGTCAATGTCTGCATGTCTGCGTGTATCGTGAAGCTTGGGTAAGGCGGTGTGGTGATAGTATCTCTGCATTACATGTCCACAGCATCTGTTGAACTGGGATCACCCGAGAAGGTATTAGCCACCACCAGTGTAAATCTGATATCTTGATCCAACAAAAAGTGGCGTAACACATTGCTTGACCACATTTTATTTACTTGTGGAAAAAGAAAGAATTAGGTTTCACCGTAACGGCAAATATTTTAACGACGTAGCCCTAGTTTATAGCTCTGTGGGTATATATATATATTATATTATATATTTATATATATAATATATATATATATATATATATATATATATATATATATATTATATATATTAAAACACATGTGCAACTCTTGGTATCTTTATTGGAGGAAACGTTTCGCCACACAGTGGCTTCATCAGTCCATACAAAGGAGAATCGTGAAGAGCAGGGGGGAATGAGGTAATCAGTCCCTCACGATTCTCCTTTGTATGGACTGATGAAGCCACTGTGTGGCGAAACGTTTCCTCAATAAGATACCCAAGAGTTGCACATGTGTTAATTTATCAACATGTCGGTTCTCTGAACCATTCATCTCTCTCTCTCTCTCTCTCTCTCGTCTCTCTCTCTCTCTCTCTCTCTATATATATATATATATATATATATATATATATATATATATATATATATATTAATATATATATATATATATATATATATATATATATATATAATATATTCTGAAAAACGTATCTCTTGAAATGTACTGTATCTGCACTTCCAGCATCAATGTGTATGGCACGGTTATACACGCTGAGAATGTTTATTGTCTCCATTTTTGAGATTAAAATATCCATGAGTGATAGTGTATAAGTGATATGCCGGCTTAAATGTGCCTGGTCTATTCGACAGACTTTAAACTTAACACACTAATTAATCAATTTATGACACATGAGATATACATCGAGAGGTTTATATATTTCCGTGTATGCACAGGAAGTCGTCACTTAGTATCTTCGATAGGGTCTTGGAAACTGCGACTTTAAGCAAAACGACGTATAACGAAACCAATTTTACCATAAGTTGATATAAACATGAGTTACGTTGCTACGGCATGGGAGACCTGAGAGAGAGAGCTGAGAGAGAGAGCAGAGAGAAAGAGCTGAGAGGAAGGGATGGCAGTAGTACTGCTGCTGTCATGACTATGCAGTACGTCGCACTGGGGCGCTGTAAAGTCGTATATTTACTCTATTATTGACATTTTTAATATTTTAGATATCAACTGCTTTTCAGAATTATAAAAGAAACACGCTACATATCACAATAACCAAATACAAACAGCCATAAGGAAGGAAATTGACATAGCGTACATGGAGAGTTACGCCGGTATGTCCTCCATCAAGATATTTAAAAGTCTTTCCATATTTTCCATTCCTCGCAGGGAATTTATTTCTTTTTCTCATTAACGTAATAAAGAAATGACGTTGAACGAAACGACGTTAAGTGAGGACTTCCTGCATACAAAACGGGTATACTGGTAAGCCAGTGGAAGGTCTCGGTTGGTTGACCAAAAGCTCCAGCTGCGTGTCATTATATGACTAAGACTGGCTTCAGGAATTACTTGTCCTGTTTACTGAGAAACCTTACTCAATCTTGCCTCCTGTACAACTCTGTGGTATAGTTCTTAAGGTCACCACCGACACCACCAGGAAGGTGTCTTAATAACCTCCCATTTCCCAGGCGTTGCATGACGCGTCTGTGTTTAGCGTCTCTTCGTGGTAATAAAAATCGTAATAATAACTCTCTCGGCTGATTGCCTTTGTCTAGTGTCCAACGTTCCTACGTTGTCCAAATCCTGGGATCAGAGGCAATGTGGTGAGGATCGTCTGAATCTACCCAGGCATCGGCTGATACTAGAACACTATCTAGTGTTTGTTTATATGTGCTGGCTAGAAAGGTATGCGTGCAGGAACATATGAATACACATACTCACATCCAAACACATGCACATGCACATACACAAGCAAACACATATGCGTGGGTATGTGCAAATACACATAGGCACATTTTGATATACCCTTATACCTTCGATGAGTTTGGAGACAGTTTCTTTCTCCTAAGCATGGCCCTTGGCCAGCCTGTTCCTGCTGACGGCCCGCTGGCCCACATATCCATCAAGTACACATACTCTTTGCCATAAAAAGCATATGCACATGTATAAAAGCGTATATGAAAACCCAGCTTCAAGAGATGATTTATACTCTCTTGGGATGTTAAGATTTATATAAACAAGAGTAAACACTGACTAATTTAGGATCAAGATGGCTCCAAGTGATGATCCTTCACATTCTCTAAGCTACAGTGGTTCTCAAGTGTGTTCTGTGATGATCCATCATAGTGGCTAACTAGTGTGTGATGATCCACCATAGTGGCTCAATAGTGTGTTCTGTGATGATCCATCATAGTGGCTCAATAGTGTGTTCTGTGATGATCAATTACAATGACCCACTAGTGTGTTCTGCGATGATCCAACACACTGGCTCACTAGTGTGTTCTGTGATGATCCATCACAGTGGCTCACTAGTGTGTTCTGCAATGATCCATCACAGTGGATCTCAAGCACTGACAGAGTAAATCTTAAGACTCCAACAGAACATTTGTGTAATTCATTTCCAGTGAAAGTATCCAGTGCTTCAATTTAAAAGTGTAATTATCGTACTCTTCCATCTGAGTCATGTACAGCCTCCTACTCCATGTTGTCTCTTGCCGCCTCCTTCATCTCAACCTCAGCCTCCTCCTCCAACTCCTCCTCCATCTCTTCCTCAGCCTCCTCTTCCACCTCCTCCTTCATCTCATCCACAGCTGGAGTAACAAGACAATGCATAGAATGTCTTTCTCTGGTTCATAATCCATGCCAAGAATCAAAGCCTGCAAAATTTCGATTCACGGTAGAAAAAAAAATATTTATTCGTGTATGTCGTTTATAGGTACTTGGATAAATAATTTATGCGTGCATTAAGAGTGCTGGCATGAAGCACTTTAATACTTGTAAAGTTTTATGCAGCTGGAAACGCTTGGGCAGGAGCCACGTGACGCTTGTATTATCCACAAGCATCAACACTGCATTCCTGTAACGCCTGTATTAATGCTCTGCATTTATCGTCTGTCATTGAGAAAACAATGGCTCTCGATTACTGTTTTATTGTGGCTGTTCCTATAAAAAATTAAGAATGCTTCATCATTATTTGAAACAATATATAAATTTGATCGCATTTTTATTAGTTTAAGACAAAAGGTCAATAAAGCTGAAAGAGATTGATAGTTGGGATAGGTCAGCATTGTTGAAGAAGGTCAGTACGATTGGGTAGTATGCATTTGTAAAATGTATTTGCCTCAAGTAAGATTAATTATAGTTCTTGCAATCGTCTTTGCCAGCTATGAGCGAGGAGCCAGGGCCATCTAGTGGTGGAATGCAGCCCTAAATTGTCTGGTGACTTCTAGGTGTGCTGTGGCGTTATTACTTGTCAGAGGGAAATTAGGGAAGCTGGTTCAATTACCTCGTTAGAGGTAATAGTTCCAGCCAGTGAAACCGTCAATTGATTCTCTGATTCTCTCTGATTTTTGGTATTCACTATATATCATTAATTTTGCTTGTGTCGAAATACTTAAAAGATTTGTAATAGTACACATAGTGATTCGGTGAAGGAAGAATCACACAATATAGTTCTGTGTAAGTTTTTCTTCGTTAATTAATAATTGTGACACTGTTTGTTTCTGAACATTGCTTATATCCTAACCCAAAATCTCAAACCAGCTTGGTGCTGATGAAGGGCAAGTTAGGTCAGTGCTGTTGGTGAGGGTCAGCGGGGCTGAGATGTTGGATAAGCTAGAGCTGAAGAGGTTATAACTCCAAGGTAATTGTACCAGTATATTTTGGGCATATACAAAATTTCTGAATTCTCATGAAGTATATGCAGCAAGCATATCGTATTATATGAACGTCAGATGATCGCAAAGCTGCTTAACGTAATTAAATTATTATTCAAATTGCCAATGGAACTGTAAGTGATTTAAGAGTCTGAACCTGACTTGATTTAAAATTTCATTAACTATATTCAAGTGTACTAAGTTAAATGACTTTGCTCAATTTTTTTCTGTTACCTCAAGCTGATTATCATCAGATGAGGAATGTTAAAGAAGTTTATTCAATTTGCTTGAAGTCTTTCACATGAGACAGCCGTCCTCACCATTAATGTTTCTTGCGAAACACGTCTTGAATGATTTTTCCAGAGCTATCAACTCCAAACACACACACACACACACACACACACACACACACACACACACACACACACACACACACACGCACGCAATCATGCCTTAAGATACGAAAATTTTACGACTGTCTACAGAAAGTTAAGAAACAGGGCTAAACAGAGGCTTAGATCCGTCAAACCCAACTAGATGACTACAGACACAGAGGAAAGCGCATAACAAGCACACTCAAGTTAATACACTCCCCATAAATAAGCATCATCAATATTTTACAAAAAAAAAAAGCGTGCTGGCCTGCATGACTGCTTCACAACGCATAAGAGCCCTGAAAATCCTCTCCAGGATACCATTAGCCAGGTGCATTAAATGCCAGTAGAAAAAAAAACATTACTTCGTGAATGCTAGTATCTCAGTGCCACCAAACACTGTAGGAATATTATATATATAAATATATATATAATATATATATATATATATAATATATAAATATATAAATATATATATGATTATTATTAATGTTGTTTAAGGTGATACAATTAGAGGCTAAAGTTGTTATCCTACCCATATTCACTTTAAAGAACAACCATATATATCCCAGGGATACTACCACCCTATGTGGTATCACACAAATGTCTACTAACACCCAGGCTCCTATTTACTACTAGCTGAACAGCACCGAACGACTGAGAAAGAGTTGTCCCATTTCCCTACCTGGCCGATATTGATCCCGTGTCTTTCGGTTGTAAGGTGAAGAGACTACCGAGCTACTAGCCTTTTATGCATTTGACACAATTTTTTACGCCTTTTTCCCGGCTATGAAAAATTTCCATGTGTGCCTTTCAGTTTTTAAGGCCAAATCCCTTACCTTGATAACTAACATCACCTCACCTGCGTCCTCACTTCATCTTCTCAGGGGGTTTGCTGAGGCTGCAAGTTTATCTCCCTCTAATTGCTGAGAGAGTGTGGCAAATATGATGGTCGGGACTGGAGTTACTAGCCTCGTTGTGGAGATACACTCGGTCGCAAGGCTAATGCAAGACCATGGTCAAACACAAATTTGTGAGTATTGACGTTCAGAATATGGAGTGAGTTTTGAAATTACAAGTCGAGTGAGGAATCTCCTTGTGCAGTGCATAATGACACTCTTATAGGTGTGTGTGTGTGTGTGTGTTTGTGTGTGTGTACTCACCTAATTGTACTCACCTAATTGTGGTTGCAGGGGTCGAGACTCAGCTCCTGGCCCCGCCTCTTCACTGATCGCTACTGGATCCTCTCTCTCTCTGCTTCCTGAGCTTTGTCATACCTCTTCTTAAAACTATGTATGGTTCCTGCCTCCACTACTTCACTTGCTAGGCTATTCCACTTGCTGACAACTCTATGACTGAAGAAATACTTCCTAACGTCCCTGTGACTCGTCTGAGTCTTCAGCTTCCAGTTGTGAACCCTTGTCCCTGTGTCCCCTCTCTGGAGCATCCTATCTCTGTCCACCTTGTCTATTCCCCGCAGTATCTTGTATGTCGTTATCATGTCTCCCCTGTGTGTGTTTGTGTGTGTGTTTGCTTTCATAACACTAATATATGTATCTTCACATCTCTCGGCGTACAACTTAATCCATAAAGACATTATGGAGGGGAGAATATCACCTGACCGACACACAATATTCACCTGATATACTTACCATACAAAACCATAATTAAAGATTTTGCAAAACAAGGAAAAAAAATATATTTCAATTTTTCTCCGGACGATGTATGAGGACAGAATAAGAACACCATAATATGTGTCTCATCATATATCTGCCGATTAATGAATTTAGTTCCTATTTTAGAAATTAAAGCATTATTGACTGGAGATTAACAGGTAACAACCAAGAATATGAAGAGAGACGTCACGGCACGACTAGAGAGAATCAGTAACTTAAAGAGGATCATTATTGGCTTGGCATCCCTTGTTTTGAAAGTTCTCATTATCCATCCTATAATTTTCGTGGCAGACGTGATAGTAACACTGATGTGGTCCTTGAAGATGAGATCATCTGAAATTATCGCTCCCAAGTTCTCCACGTTCGCTTTTCCTCTATTGTGTGGTTAGAATTTGTTGTGTACTTCCTTTTAGCGATTATTTCTTCAAGTTACCTATAACGGAAATTTGTCTGTATTGAACATCATTTTTCGTGGCCCATAGGAAAACTTGGTTTATATCCGAGGCTGTCATCCTGAGTGGATGACAGCCTCGTACAGATTCTCGTATCGTCTACAATATGAAACACGGTGCTGTGATTTATACACCTGTGTGTCATACTACTACTACTGCTAGTAATAGTCGTACTATTGCTACTCTTCTTCATTACCACATCCTACTACTACCACTACTACTGCAATTACTACTGCTATTGTTACTGCTACTACTACAGTTACTATTGCTATTGTTACTAATACTACTACTACTACAGCAACAGCTACTACAACTACTCATCCTAATAATTCTCCTCTTACTATTTGTATTAGTACTATTACTACTACCCTTCCTCCTACTACTACTCTTCACCCTCCGACTACTACTCTTACTACAACTATAACTACTACCATTAGTCATTCTCCTCTTCTGCTACTCATCTTCCTTCGTCTCTTTCTCCTCCTACAATTATTACACTACAACTAATACAATTACTACTACTGCTACTACTACTTCTAATAGTACTATTACTACTAGTTTTTCTATTCGTCCTCCTCGTCCTCCTCCTTTAATACTGTTCCTCCTCCTCCTTCTCCTTTAATACTGTTCCTCCTCCTCCTCCTTTAATACTGTTCCTCCTCCTCCTCCTCCTCCTCCTTTAATACTGTTCCTCCTCCTCCTCCTTTAATACTGTTCATCCTCCTCCTCCTCCTCCTCCTTTAATACTGTTCCTCCTCCTCCTCCTTTAATACTGTTCCTCCTCCTCCTCCTCCTCCTCCTTTAATACTGTTCCTCCCTCCTCCTCCTTTAATACTGTTCCTCCTCCTCCTCCTCCTCCTCCTTTAATACTGTTCCTCCTCCTCCTCCTTTAATACTGTTCCTCCTCCTCCTCCTTTAATACTGTTCCTCCTCCTCCTCCTCCTCCTTTAATACTGTTCCTCCTCCTCCTCCTCCTCCTTTAATACTGTTCCTCCTCCTCCTCCTTTAATACTGTTCCTCCTCCTCCTCCTTTAATACTGTTCATCCTCCTCCTCCTTTAATACTGTTCATCCTCCTCCTCCTCCTCCTCCTTTAATACTGTTCCTCCTCCTCCTCTCCTCCTCCTCCTCCTCCTCCTCCTTTAATACTGTTCCTCCTCCTCCTCCTTTAATACTGTTTCCTCCTCCTCCTCCTTTAATACTGTTCATCCTCCTCCTCCTTTAATACTGTTCCTCCTCCTCCTCCTCCTCCTCCTTTAATACTGTTCCTCCTCCTCCTCCTTTAATACTGTTCATCCTCCTCCTCCTTTAATACTGTTCCTCCTCCTCCTCCTCCTCCTCCTTTAATACTGTTCCTCCTCCTCCTCCTTTAATACTGTTCCTCCTCCTCCTCCTTTAATACTGTTCCTCCTCCTCCTCCTTTAATACTGTTCCTCCTCCTCCTCCTTTAATACTGTTCATCCTCCTCCTCCTCCTTTAATACTGTTCATCCTCCTCCTCCTCCTTTAATACTGTTCCCTCCTCCCTCCTTTAATACTGTTCCTCCTCCTCCTCCTTTAATACTGTTCATCCTCCTCCTCCTCCTCCTCCTTTAATACTGTTCCTCCTCCTCCTCCTCCTCCTCCTTTAATACTGTTCCTCCTCCTCCTCCTCCTCCTTTAATACTGTTCCTCCTCCTCCTCCTCCTCCTTTAATACTGTTCCTCCTCCTCCTTTAATACTGTTCCTCCTCCTCCTCCTTTAATACTGTTCCTCCTCCTCCTCCTTTAATACTGTTCCTCCTCCTCCTCCTTTAATACTGTTCATCCTCCTCCTCCTCCTCCTCCTTTAATACTGTTCCTCCTCCTCCTCCTCCTCCTCCTCCTTTAATACTGTTCCTCCTCCTCCTCCTTTAATACTGTTCCTCCTCCTCCTCCTTTAATACTGTTCCTCCTCCTCCTCCTTTAATACTGTTCATCCTCCTCCTCCTTTAATACTGTTCCTCCTCCTCCTCCTCCTCCTCCTTTAATACTGTTCCTCCTCCTCCTCCTTTAATACTGTTCCTCCTCCTCCTCCTTTAATACTGTTCATCCTCCTCCTCCTTTAATACTGTTCCTCCTCCTCCTCCTTTAATACTGTTCCTCCTCCTCCTCCTCCTCCTCCTTTAATACTGTTCCTCCTCCTCCTCCTTTAATACTGTTCCTCCTCCTCCTCCTTTAATACTGTTCATCCTCCTCCTCCTTAATACTGTTCCTCCTCCTCCTCCTTTAATACTGTTCCTCCTCCTCCTCCTCCTCCTCCTTTAATACTGTTCCTCCTCCTCCTCCTTTAATACTGTTCCTCCTCCTCCTCCTTTAATACTGTTCCTCCTCCTCCTCCTTTAATACTGTTCCTCCTCCTCCTCCTTAATACTGTTCCTCCTCCTCCTCCTTTAATACTGTTCCTCCTCCTCCTCCTTTAATACTGTTCATCCTCCTCCTCCTTTAATACTGTTCCTCCTCCTCCTCCTTTAATACTGTTCCTCCTCCTCCTCCTTTAATACTGTTCATCCTCCTCCTCCTCCTCCTCCTTTAATACTGTTCCTCCTCCTCCTCCTCCTCCTCCTCCTCCTTTAATACTGTTCCTCCTCCTCCTCCTCCTCCTCCTCCTTTAATACTGTTCCTCCTCCTCCTCCTTTAATACTGTTCCTCCTCCTCCTCCTCCTCCTCCTTTAATACTGTTCCTCCTCCTCCTTTAATACTGTTCATCCTCCTCCTCCTTTAATACTGTTCCTCCTCCTCCTCCTTTAATACTGTTCCTCCTCCTCCTCCTTTAATACTGTTCCTCCCCTCCTCCTCCTTTAATACTGTTCCTCCTCCTCCTCCTTTAATACTGTTCCTCCTCCTCCTCCTTAATACTGTTCCTCCTCCTCCTCCTTTAATACTGTTCCTCCTCCTCCTCCTTAATACTGTTCATCCTCCTCCTCCTCCTCCTCCTTTAATACTGTTCCTCCTCCTCCTCCTTTAATACTGTTCCTCCTCCTCCTCCTTTAATACTGTTCCTCCTCCTCCTCCTTTAATACTGTTCCTCCTCCTCCTCCTTTAATACTGTTCATCCTCCTCCTCCTCCTCATCCTTTAATACTGTTCCTCCTCCTCCTCCTCCTCCTCCTTTAATACTGTTCCTCCTCCTCCTCCTTTAATACTGTTCCTCCTCCTCCTCCTTTAATACTGTTCCTCCTCCTCCTCCTTTAATATACTGTTCCTCCTCCTCCTCCTTTAATACTGTTCCTCCTCCTCCTCCTTTAATACTGTTCCTCCTCCTCCTCCTTTAATACTGTTCATCCTCCTCCTCCTTTAATACTGTTCCTCCTCCTCCTCCTCCTCCTCCTTTAATACTGTTCCTCCTCCTCCTCCTTTAATACTGTTCATCCTCCTCCTCCTTTAATACTGTTCATCCTCCTCCTCCTTTAATACTGTTCATCCTCCTCCTCCTTTAATACTGTTCATCCTCCTCCTCCTCCTCATCCTTTAATACTGTTCATCCTCCTCCTCCTTTAATACTGTTCATCCTCCTCCTCCTTTAATACTGTTCATCCTCCTCCTCCTCCTCATCCTTTAATACTGTTCCTCCTCCTCCTCCTCCTCCTCCTTTAATACTGTTCCTCCTCCTCCTCCTTTAATACTGTTCATACCTCCTCCTCCTTTAATACTGTTCCTCCTCCTCCTCCTCCTCCTCCTTTAATACTGTTTCCTCCTCCTCCTCCTTTAATACTGTTCCTCCTCCTCCTCCTCCTCCTCCTCCTTTAATACTGTTCCTCCTCCTCCTCCTTTAATACTGTTCCTCCTCCTCCTCCTCCTCCTCCTCCTTTAATACTGTTCCTCCTCCTCCTCCTTTAATACTGTTCCTCCTCCTCCTCCTCCTCCTCCTCCTTTAATACTGTTCCTCCT